GATCTGGACAGATTACCCACTGAGTCTTTGAACTCATTTTTCAGAATGACTGACAGCTTGCTCTTTAATGCATTTGATAACATTTTCACTTTCTGCTTTGTTGCCCATGTTGATGAAGGACACACAGTGAAGATCGTAATGGTGTATGAGTTTTAAATGTGCTTTTTACTTGGAAACACATGTAAGCATTAGTCTGGCTCAGGTTATGGCCACATAAGTAGCTAGTTACAAACAAACTGATTCACTGAAAGCATGTTGGGCTAATAGAAGCCATTCTGCAATAGAAAACATGAGTAAGCATGAGTCTGGTGCAGTGTACCTGGCTGAAATTTCAAGCATGTTAAATGATTTCACTCTGTAGAGAAGCCTTCCATTAAGTAAAAACAATAATATCTATTTTGGGTATTAATTAGATTTTGTGATCAATGTCATTTAATGGATTACCTACAAAAACCTTCAGTTGTAAAGTCAGTGAATGTTTACACTACAACACGTAATTCATTTCATTTTTTATATAAGTACACCTGAGTTGAAAATACATTTAGCAGTTGAATCAAGAGAAAACCTATTTGACTGTTCTTAAACGTTACCTTAAAATATTGATGAACTGTTGGAATCAATGTAAAAACCAATCTGTTTTGCAATTGCAAATGTCATCACTGTCCCTAATAGCATATAAATAAATTTATTTGGGAATACGTTCTTTTTAGTATGTTTAGAAGTTTGAAATCCCTCTGTAAAACTATTTAGTCTATTTGTAATGTATTATGGGAAACAACAGCCTGAGACAAAGGGTCAGCTCTGATTGCTATTCCTGATGGGAATGTCGTACTGTATTCAATACTTTGCTTACTCAATCCCTTGCTTTCTTTCTAACTCTGATTCACCTGTGCTGTCTTATCATTTGGGGCTTAGATGTTTTTGCTTTGACTGCAAGCATCGTAAACCAAAGGGTTTTATTTTCCGTAACTGTAAGGAAGTGTTAGCAGAGATCCTAGTCAATTCTTGATGATTTGATTATAAATAAAAAAGTACTTTGTCACGTTTTGAGATAACTTGACAAAAACACACACAGATACACAGATACATGTCATGCAGGCACACTTAACTGTTCTTTATTTAATATTTTAATAAAAAGAATTTTCTTTTAGAATTTTTCAGTAAAATATTGAATTCAAAGTCATGCTATATTATTTGGGACACAAAGAAACTTCTTAGAAGAAACATAGCTGACTTTGCCCCAGTGCAGCTAGTAGTTGGTTGTTGCCACTGCTTCATCGCAGGTGTTTACAGAACTTCTTCCTCAAGCTGGCATGCTACTGGACAGAAACATTAGAAGTTTGTTAATAACTGAGAGATTATTTTCCTTTCCATATATATGTTACAAGATCTGGCAAGTTAAAACCATTCTTCCACAGATTCTCAGCTTTGTAGATTTTAATTCCTGCTGCTCATTTTTCTTAACACATACACAAATTCCTTCATAAAATAGTAGTTCTTTCAAGTGTTTTACAAGTGTGATGCTGAACAAAGCTGCTACAACTCTTTGCTCCCTGACTTTCTGTTTTGTTAAGGATGAGAGAGTTCTTTGAGGCATGGTATGAAGGAGTAATACTCATTAGAACTACTGGTCCGCTAACATATGCCTTGTGCATCTGAAGTCAGTATTTCAAATCTGTCTAACTTCTGTTTCTTCTGCTTACGCTGACCTCACAGTTATCTGATCCAAGAAAGTTCCAAAGATAGTTGACCTCCTTAGCTTGTCTTGACTTCTTTTATCACTTTAGTAGTGCCTGTGATTTTTCTTTTTTTTTTTTTTATATAATACCAAATGCATTTTCATGAAGGACTCAAAACAATACTGGACTGTTTGCAAACATGGGAAGTCTGACACAGTGTGCAGTAGCAGTATTGAAAAACCTTGAACAATTACTTGTTCTGTTACCTTTTGACAGGCCCCTAAGATAATAAGAACATAGAGGTGGAATTCTTACTGTCTTCCTGGAATATTGAGGGTTTGAGCTCTCTGAGGGGTATATTTGTGTACTATAGAATATGAAAAATTCTTTGGTTAAAACAAAAAAAAAAAGGGGGGCTTCTGGGAAAGATAGACTGAAATGAAAGGATCTGAAGGCAAATTCCCCTCCCTTTTCTTCACTGTGTTCTTGGGTCCTGTACACTAAGATTGCTCTTTGTCAGTTGTTATTTTGGTTGCAGAAAGATTTACAGAGCTCCATTGGGATCATTAACGAAGTCTGTGTTTCTCTGTTTAAAAATCCTCTCAGGTTTTCCCTGGTACTTCTGTGTCTGCATGCTCCTGACCCTGCCACACCTGTAGTAGGAGGAAGGTGAACTTCCCCATCCCCCAAACACCAGAAGACAGTAAACAGTCATACCTCTTCCTTGCACCTCAGCCACAGTTGTTTTTACAGAATTGGTTAACTAGGAGCAAGTCGAATATATATATATATCCGATCATGTGTCTTTTATTGTTGATCATCAGAAAAAGGAAGAGACACAACAGAACAACACATAGAAACTGCGAGCTCTTTGGCATGGTTGTGCCTGATAAAGCTCCCAAAATAACATAGTTTACCATAGGTGCAAGTAGAATAAAAAATTCTGCTTCTGAGTTTTTTAAGGGTCAGGAAGAGATCACATAATTTACTGCAAAAGGGCCTCTTGGCAGGGCATAAGGCAAACCCCAGGAAGCAGAGGTACCCACTGGGTTTTACACAGACAGGCAATTTTTAGACTATGCAATAAAGGGACAGACCAGAGAGCTATTACTGTTATTGTTAGGAAAATTGTTTGTTTCCTATGGCCTCCCAGAAGGGGTAATGTCAGACAAACCTCCATGGTTTATTTCAAAGGAATTTGTAGCAATTATGAAAGTGAATTGCTGGCATATAGATCCTGTAACAGACAAGCTTTGAAAAGAAAACAGAATTAAGATTTATCTAGCTCTAGCAAAGACAGATTTTTGGAGGAAACGATTGTGAACCTGGATTCTGAAGCTTAGATGAAAAGAGATGAGAATTCTTATCCAGAAAAAAGCATAGTGGAATGTAAATCTAATCTGCTGTCCTTATTATTCTTAATCAAGGCTTGATGACTAATCTTTCAGAGCAAAGAGATATTCTTGATTTTTATAAAAGGCTATAAATGGGACTGGCATACTCCATTCAGCAACAAATAGCATGGAGCTCTGTTTTGCCAACTCTTATTAATGTTCTCTTGAGAATAATCTTGGTAAAGGCAAGAGGACTAATTTCTTAAAAGAAAGTATGTAGCATCCTTTTGTGTAGTAATTATCAAAGGGAAATCCTCACTTGCATTTCATCTGACTGTCCAAATTGTCCAAGTTTTGACTGGTGAAACCTCTCCAAACCATACGTTACTGAAGAGATGTGCTCAAACAGGAGTAAATTCAAGTTCTGAAAATGATCAATAAAAATTATATTGAGCATACTGGTATTTGCATGAGGGTTAAACTTACAAAGTCATACCAGAGCATTGTGTATGTGCATACATTTGTGGTTCCTATTTTTGATGAGGTTATTGATTTCCCACTACTACCTTAAACGTATCTGCACTGTATACGGACTTGAAGTTTTCTAATTTACTTTGAGTGTTATCTGGAAGTAATAATTTCTGCAGTGATATTCCAGAACCTAATATGCATATGTTGCCTCATATACATTTACTGTATTTTAAGCACCATTTTGTAGAATATGATGTACAAATTAGCTGATTGACAACCCCTGAGTTTATGTGTGCTAGCTTAAGCAAACTATGGAGTTCTTTGAAGTTTATTCTGAAGGTGGAAATTTGAATATTGTTCTTTATTGCAACTGTCTTTACATAGATTCTGATGAAAGAATGCTCATGATTTTAACGTGTTATATGAGAAGATGGTAATAAAAAAAAAAAAAGAAGAAAAAAAAGAGGGAGAGAGAAATGTCTGTTGGAAGATCAGTAGAGATCCTGAAGGTCTTTGGCATTTGATATTAACTTACCTGCCTGTTCTGTGTTCAGCCGATGCCTGTAAAGAAACAATTTGTGTGGGAAAATGGGAATTTTTGAGGTGGATTTAGCACAAGGCTAAATTGCTGTGTGTAGTGAAATTCTCTGAGGCTGAAAGTAAAAAGAGAAGAATTTTGAAAAATTACAAACATATTGTGATGATAATAGTTTATTTTTCTAAGTTCCTCTCCATTATCTGCAATGAGTTTTTTTTTTCCTTAAGTGGAAACAGAACTCATTTTCTACTCTGATAAATAAGGTGTTCGGATGTAATGGAGTCTAATGCCTGCTCTCCATACTTTCTTATGTGAGTTGTTTTTGTAAATACTTTGTGTACAACCAGTTATAGGGTAATTTTGCTTAAGAACATGTGTCATGTGAATAGTCATATATGCATAAACATCTTGTGTTTGCATATATGTGTGTCTAATCATACTTGTTATACTATAGACATGTTCTTCTATGCATAAATTGTTGTATTGTATGCATATATGATAGAATGTTTGCTAAAACAGGCACTACTGTCATTTTGTTTTTCTTTCCTGAGAATTCAGCTACTTCAATGCAACAAACTTCTCCTAACGTCCACTTTATTCTTAATAACTATAGATTTAGATCTTTATAAATAAAGAATGACTGGTTTTAAATTGAAACTATCTTTATGTTGAGTTATATTTGTGTATAGCAAAATGGAACTACTTCGCAATTCAAGTGTGATACCATATCTGATGAAAAAATAATCTGTTTCTAGTAGCATGATATTTAATAAGTTGATGGTACTTTTGTGACACCTAGCAGATAAGCTGTCAAATAATGAACTAAGTCATTATAAATCCTCAGTGTAAAGTTAATTTCCTTGGATTCTTTCTTTTATATTTTATTACATTTGTGATTTTATGAATACAACAGCTGAAGTAGCTGTTCAAATTTATTTAATGTATAATGATTGCTTGTTCTGTTTTGTTGTTTTCCAGCTCCCTCAGGCTCAAAAGGTAAAATATTTTACTCAGATCTTAGTTATTCAAAGTAATTCACCAGTCCTTCATGTTTCCATGGTATCGTGAGTTTGGTACAGTAGTGATCAGTGAAACAGTTCACTGTACTGGGGCCCTGGGCATCAAAGCAATGCATTATGGCTGCTAAGAGCAGCTCTTCAAACACATGAGCTATTTGAACACAATAGGCATATAGCGGCCTACAACTTGAAAACAGCAGGGAAGTTATTTTATCAACAATTTGAATAATGAAAAAAAAATGAACTCACCCCATTACTGTATGTGAAACATCTCTAGATCATTTTTATTTCTATTATAGAGACAGCAGAACCCATGTTATAGCTGGTACCCTTTCACTGCTCCCCACTGTATCTATCAACACCTCTTTGAATACATCTGACATTTGACTTCTCTAATAGGTTGCAAGCAGTTTTTATATAATATGCTTTTTGAACAACTTCTACATCGGTATGGTATGTTACCAGTCACTTCTGCACATCGTGAAAGCACAATGATTGCAGCAAAGTCTAAGAATTGCTTGATGCTTGTTCTCTCATTCTTGTATATTTCACAAATATAATCAAAGCTTCTAGAAAACAGAAAACCTAGATGCTGTTTTGTGGGTTGTGATTTGAAGCACTGAAATGGAAAAATTAATTGAACATATTGGGGAACGGCAACACCTACTTATTCAATTAATTCTCATTCTAGATAAAGCACTTTTAATATGGAATGTCATAGAAATTTAAATGCATTATTTTTCATAGCCTTTGAATGATGATAAAAGTTGAATTTTTAATGAAAGCTATAGATCAAGTGATTATCAGTGAATAGCTTTTGTGGAATGGTTAGGGCAACCATGGACCTCAAAACTTTAGAATGGTTCCTTAGTGTATTCAATGTATTTTTTAATTTAAAAAGCAAGAAATCTGGCCATGGAAACTTGTAGCTTTATACTGCCATGTATATTTGAGATTTTCTTGCTCATGGATCTCAGAAAATTGTGTTTTAGATCTGTAGGTAGTATGGTAGTCTATCACACTGGACTATGTCCATAGTTTGTTCTTGTGTGCTCTAGAGCCTAGCAAATGTGACATTGTGGTAAGAAAATTTGCTGCTGTTATTTTTTCCTCTGGAAATAGGTGGATTAAAATTCTTTTGTTTACAGCTTCGTGGACAAATAGAAGTGCTAAAAGATTGGCTAACCTTGACTTAATTCATGTTAACCTACTTCTTTATGCCAAATACTTCTAACAGTTTGCAGAAAGAAGATACAGGGTGAGATTGAAATGTGCTGTTGGGGAAATTTCTATCAGGCTGCTTTCTAGTGTCATGTGATACTGTATATCAGATTGTAATGTCTACATTTCTGAACTATTAAATAATATTCTGATACAAATTATTCAATTGTGTAACCCTCAAGCAAATCAATGCAGATCTATAGTCGCATACTTTGTATGTGTGTGCCATAATATATACCTTTATGTAGAGAAAGAGGAGAGGGATGGAAAGGAATGAATGAAGGGGGACAGATAAAATAGTCTCTGAGGTTTTTCAATAATTTCAGGTAAGAATGAACCTTTTCTTAAACATAGCCTGCTTGTTATGTGAAGATAGTAGACTTTAAGGCAGGAAATGCTGATTGATATTTCTTACTGACAGGTTTACTTCGCTCCTAGCAGAATGATCTTTATGAGGCTACTTATATGTGATTATGAAAACTTTTCTACTCTAGGAGTCTTCTTCCTGTCTCTCAATCCTACCTTATTTGAATCTGTGTTTTCTCTTGGATTCCCTTGCAGAGAATCACAGTGGCATTGTGCTAACAAAATCCAGTGTCTTAGCTCAGAATCTAAATTATCTCCTCTCTGCTCTTCAACCAACTAAACCTGAGCAAATGCTTCGTAGCTGTATTTTTCTCATATCCCTATCTGAGTTTATTATGAAAGCTTAAAGTTCAGTTGAGTGCATTGAGATTACCAGATATAGGGGCTTGCTGATCAGTCTTAAACTGGTCAAGAGTTAGCCACAGTTATACATGAAGCAACGAAAATTTTAATTGTCAGTTATTAGAAGCCAACATTTTCTTTCATTAGGTGCCACACAAAAATATTGCTTAACATCCAAGTTTTCTTCCAGCAAGCCAGAATGTAGCAAACACAACACAAACACCAAGCCAAAGAATCTCTATCTCCCTATCTGCAAGGTGAAGGGAAGCAACACAGGACTGATACACATTTGCCTGTTACACAGGACTGATACACATTTGCCTGTATGAATGACTTAGTCACTAGTGTACATGTTTTGCCATATGGTGTACGAACTTGAACTGTATTTTTGTTGGATTCTATGTATCATATTGCAAATGTTTTCTCTATAAACATTTCAAACAGTCATGTCTCTCTAAACATATTCACTTTAATCTTCTAGTGATCTGAAAGAAAAATGTGGCACTCGAAGTTTACCTTTACTGTTTTATATCCATTATAAATACTTGGTCATCTTGATGAAATGTTATGTCTTTTATATGAAACATTTGGATACAGTCTTCTCAGTGTTTAGTCAATGTTCTATAGTAATTAGCTATCAATTTTGAAGACCAAGGGTTCTAGTCTGTCTTTGACAGTTGAATAACAAATTGTTGAAATGCAGATTTGGAGTGCAGATGTAATGAAGTATGAGGAGTTTAAGTTGGATGTCTGTTGAAGCACAATATTTGACCATAAAGGAGCTTTGCAATATTCTCTATAATTAAAATAGATAATGCTACAAATTAAAAATATTAAAATTACTAATAATGATAATGATAAAAAGTTCACCATAATTTCAGGTGACAAAGGTGCTTTAATATGATCATGTAGCTTTCATGAGAAATTGTGTCTAGGGATACCCAGTGAGTCTAAAGGAGAGCCACTATCCAGACAAATAAATGAATGTGAATATCTTATGTCATCTGTATCGTTTTTCTGCATCTTTTTAGATAATCATCCTCCATGACTGTGAAAATGAAAATGATTATAATGAACTCATAACTCACATTTAGCAATTTTCTGATTTTCTCACTTTGGCTTCCAAAATGACCTTTATTATTGAAAAACATTTGAAAAGCAGTTTTTGTATTCATGGATGAACAAAAGCTATTCCTTTTTAATAGCTCAAAAAGGTGTTTGGTTTCCTAGCAGGAAAGCTTTCCTTGCTTTCTTGAACGATCGCAGCGGGATTCAAATCTGTTGTCCTTCTCCTGCTGTGATGTTTTGTTCTACTTAGTTTTTATGAACAGGTAGAATTGAATAAATTAGGCACATACATCAGAAGCAGATAGCTGTGTTTAGGAACATAGAAAAAAAAGTTAATGGTTCTCTCATGAATAGAATCGTATTTCCTCCATATAGAAATGTTTTGATGATGTTTGTTGCCCAAAAGTTCCTGACAGCTTTCTTCTCTCTTTCTGTGTTATCCCTTAACTTCTGTAAGTAGTGCTTTGCCCTCCTTTTATCTTGATGCTATCATCTTTCAGCCATTTGGAAATATCATTTATCATTCCTTGCATCATTTACCTTCCTATACTTTGAAGTGTTGAATTGACTGTCACTGGGAATAGAAAATAAAAAATTTGCAAAGCTGCTGATTCACTGAAGTGCATGGCTAGTAATTTTAGCATTTTTACAAATTTATAGAAGCTAAATTGAATCTAATGAGATATAAAATAATCAGGTGGTAAACATTTTGACCCTTATTTATTATTCCTTTGTTTCTGTTTCCAGATGAGGTGCTATTATCTTTCAATTTTATAATGTATATAAGGTTGAGTGACCCATTCAGAAAACTGCTTTAAGATTTCTGCATGCATGTTAAACAGGATCTTAAATTTAGTCTCCAGGTGTTTTCCTCACACTCCTCAACAAGTGACTTGATATTTAATAGCACTGAGTAAACAATTTGCCAGTTTTAACTGAGAAAGCATTTTAAACTGATGGTCTTTGGTGTTTCACTTTTGTGTGGCTAAACATAGACATATCCGTACAACTTTTAACACTCACACAGTTTCCTATATGGTCCTGGACCATAATTTATATCTAAACTAAAATAATAGCTATTCTTCATTCCAGTAGTCTATATAAAATAGTTAAAAGGTCAAATTCCAATTTTCTGATGCTACCAGCCTGTCTCGTGACTGCTCAGAACACAGAAGTACAATAGTCTGAGGGGAAGATGGCACAGGTGAAGCAAGGCTAATCCTGACTGGAGAAAAGAAGGAGAGGGATGGACTGGGAATGTGTAGAGTTATTCAAGGTACTGAAATAAATCCTCCACATGAAACTCATATTTCAAGTACATCCCTATGGAACTGCTGCCTTATATGGATACAGTTTCAAAACTGTAGCAGCCAGTTTCAGCACTGATGCCTTGTCACAGAGTTTTCAGTGTTCCCATGCCCCAAATTTTCACCCTATTTTCAGTCCCTCTGAAGGTAGCAATGTTCTTCTCCACTTTTCAGCTTTTGCACAGGGCATATGGCTGTGTAGGCCAACAGACCTTCACTTTGACCTATTTCTCTGCCCTATTCCCTTAAGTCCTATTTCCTTTCAGGTCCACCGACCAATGCTTCATAGGTCAGCATAGCTACACAACTCTCCTCAAATACTTCCTCGTATGCCTCTGTTCAGCCTCCTAAGCTTGCTTCTTCATATTGTTTTTTAATTCTGAATTTTAACTCCAAATTTAAAATCTGCCCTGTAAATAGGATAGTCTGGAATTTTTCTGCAATTCAGGCACTGTAAGTCAGTCAAGTGTGAAAGTCAAAGCTGCTACTGTGGGATGGTGAAAAATCTAGGAGGTACAACACAGATCTAGGGAGATGAGAAATCAAAGGAATGTTATTGGGTTAAGATTAATCTACAAAGAAATTTGGTCATTATTGTGGTTATTTTGTAGCTGCCGTGAATTGGTGAGAGATGGATAAATCTGATTTGACTTGATAATGTTCGGTGGAAGAG